CACGGTTCCCAGCAGATCACCGAAGTCAAGCATCACTGGCTACGGTCAGTGTGCGGGTGGGTGACCACTTGGATCAGCCTGCGTAGGGACCGAGGGTGTGCGGTATTGGTCCTCGTTAAACTGTTCTACCGTAAAGTGCTCGACTTCGCGCGCAGGTCGTCGGGCTACCGAAGCGGGGGTGCCATCCCCTCCGCAGAGGATCGAAATTGTGATGGCATGTCTTCGGATCATCCTCCGGGATGTTTCCCAGACCGTTGTCAATAGACCATTGTGCAGCTCTAGTGCGACGCAAATTAACAACAACATATGTCTATAACAAAAGATTACTTAAATATTATTAATTACTTTAAATATTTTCAAGGATGTACTGCAAGAAAATGAATACTGTGAAATATTTGTGGAGATTATTACTTATAGCTTTGAGCATCTCCAATGTATAGATTCAGATTCTAAAAAGGTTCTTTAGTCTTGTTTTAATATTCTTAAGTTGGGCCTATTATGATACTACAGTGAAACCTCCAGGAAAGACCACCTCTGTGTAGCGACAACCTTTATTCCCCCACCTTTATTCCCAGACGACCACCTTTATTACAGGATGTTTCCCAGACCGTCGCCAATAGCCCATTGTGCAGCTCTAGTGGGACGTAAATTTACAACAACAACTCTCTCTTTTTATTTTTAAATAAATGTTGATATTCTGAAATCATTAAAATTGTATCGTTAAATATCAGCATTATTAATATAAACTCCTTTAAATTAACCAGTATAATATTATTACTTTGCACACATCCATTTTCGGGCCAATTCTTGGTAACTAACAAATCTAACGGTCTTCAGTACTGTAGTGAGAACGCGTCATAAGTTCACTTGAATTAACTACTCGCTTTATAGATTTAATTTTGTGTTTTGTTCTGTTTTTTTTTCTTTACATTTTATTTTCTGTTTTTTACGTGAAATATTTTTTACTTAATGTGTTCCATTTTGTTTAATTTTTTTTGAGTGCTCCTCACATTTATTGTATTATTTACTTTGATTGTATTGATACTAGCACTCCTTTTTATGGAGCTGATGAAGAGATTTTATCTTTTCATTTTTTTGTTTTCCTCCTTTTCAATATATATATCTACATCTCTCTCATATATATATATATAGAGTGGAATGATAACACATAGCCAATCACAGAAGACTTGTGGTTAGTAACGCACGAAAAAGCCAATCAAAATTGATAACGCATGTGTGTGAAAAGGTAATAATTTTCAATAATGCTGTCAAAAAATACAAAATACAAACTGACCTCAAATAAAACTCAGAGGACTTCGAATCAAATAATTAAGAAAACTCTACTATTACGTTTATAAAAAGGAAGATTTATTAACTCAACAACAAAATTATAACATCGCCATTCCAAAAAAACAAATCTCACACTCTCTCAAAAAAACTATTTACATTCCAAATTATCACCATGGCAACCACAAAACTCTTCTCGTATGTATATATAAAAGTGTTTTAGTTTTTGAAACCATATATCTTGTAGTTGGTAACAAAAGATGTTTTTATCATTGTTGGCCAAATTGTCCTTTTAAGGCACAAGGCGGAAGTTCGTTTTTAAATTTCTCCTCCGCGAAATGCATTCATATTAATTTTACAATATAACTGTTACGTATTTAGCTATAAGATTTAACTCACTCTCATGTCTAAATATTTAAAAAAAAATAATGAACAATAGACGCTTCCATTTTTGAATCTATAAATCAACCAGTTTGTAACAATAAAAGATTGAAATACCATTCAAGACATATTCTCCTCCATCCGAGTGAATGACATCGACAAAAAGGGCATCGGTTGTATCAAGTCTTACTGATGTATGAAGTCCTTGAAAGAAAGGTCCAGCTGGGTCCAATCCTTGAAAGAAAACTCTTTTATAAATAAGTACAAAAGACTTGTGAATCTTTAAATTGTTAAAACAAAATTATTTTTTATTAGTTATTCTACAAAGTTATGCAAACATATATTACAAATTTACTCTTCTTTCAATCGAATATCAATTGGATACTAATTATTTTCTAAAGAAATAGCTGTTTTAAAGGAAGTATTCCATTACATATTAAAATAGCTATTTTAATGTATAGTAATTTTCTCAAGCTTTCTTAATTGATATTGTAAATTAATTGTTCTGCCAAATTATCCAAATAGATCTTATAAAAAAATTATTCTCCAAAGATATCCAATTATCTATTGCAAAGTAACTATTCTATCAAACTAACGAAATAACTATAGTATAGTTATTATTCTCTCAAAATATCTAAATTGTAATAGACTCGCAATAGACTCCTAGACAATTTTCCCAAGTATCCAAATAGCTATTTTAAAGTAACTATTGTCTTAAGCTATCCAAATAGCTATTGTAAAAATTAATTATTCTCCCAAGTTATCAATTGCAAAGTAACTCTTTTCTCTCATCCCGTGGTGGACTGGTCTTTAAGACACGGTTCCCAGCAGATCACTGAAGTCAAGCATCACTGGCTGAGGTCAGTGTGCTGGTGGGTGACCACTTGAATCAGTCTGTGTAGGGACCGTGGGTGTGCGGTATTGGTACTTGTTAAACTCCGTTAAGTGCTCGACTTCGCATGCAGGTCTTCGGGCTACTGAAGCGGGGGTAACATCCCTTCTGCAGAAGATCAAAATTATAATGGCGTCTTCGAATCATCCTCAGGGATGTTTCCCAGACCGTCGCCATTAGCCCATTGTGCAGCTCTAGTGCGACGTAAATGAACTGCTACAACAACAACAACTCTTTTCTCAAACAATCGAATATCAATTGTATAGTAATTGTTTTCTGAAGACGTTCAAAAAACTATTTTAAAGAATTATTCCATTAAATATCCAAATGGCTATTATAAAGTAAATATTTTCTCAAGCTGTCTTAATGGCTACTGTAAAGTAATTATTCTTCCAAACTAAATAACGAGATAATATAAAGAAATTATTTTCCTAACATATCGAAATATCTATTGCAAAGTAACTGTTCTACCAAACTAACGAAATAGCTATTCCAAAGTAATTATTCTCTTATATCTATTATAAAGTAATTATTTTTCTAAATATCCAAATAGCTGTTTTAAAGTAACCATTTTTTCAAGTTAAACTCATAACTATCGCAAAATAATTATTTTCCTATTAAATTACTGTAATATAGTAACACGTTTCTCCCACCATAAAGCTGTAGTTCAAAATCGTAAGCGACTAAATTAAAGTTTAGATTTACTTTACAGTTCTATAAAGCATGAAAGCAATTTTTTCCACTGTCATCTTATTTTACAAAATATTTACACGCCACTAAATCGCAATATTATTGGCTGTTACACATACTTTTTATGAAATATTTTTTCATATATTTCGTTATATTTTCTATATCATATTTTTTTTTAATCTCTCAACACACTTTTAAAATTACAACTATGCTTTTCAACAGAAATCTTTTAAATTAATTTACCTGTGATTCTTCCCAAATTGGGTACACGCTCTCCGACATATCCGGCAATTTGTCCTCCCAAGCTATGACCAATCACATGTACAGTTTGAGGTTCGATTCCAGTATTATTCTAAAAGAGTAAGACATTAGCTAAGGTATATCGTACACTGCAAAAATTCTTCTGTACTATCTCTGAGTAAGATGATGAACAACCAACAACATTGTTGGAAGGAGCACTTTATTTCTGATTAACACCAAATCTAGCTTTCATATACAATTTAGAGGGTATAATTTAAATCCAAGCACTTAAAGTGGAAAAAGCTTACGCCAATCTCTCGCACATTCTCACCATACTTGAATTATTTTTGCTTCCAAAAAAACTTCAGTAATCGACAGAAAATTACGATTTAGAGTGAGCTTGTTGCTGTCTTCTAAGCTCTGCTTTACGTTTGCAGAAATTAAAGTTTCCAGTTAAAAATATATAAGTTTGTTTTTAGTTGTGTAATAAGAATAAGTATATTAATTATTAAATCTCATTGAACTGTGTTAAATGATTTTATAGCATATAATTTCCAACCATTTCGATTTTGTTAAGCCTAGTTAGAATTTATAGAAGGAATATAGCAAAAAAATATTTTACAGTTACAAATTTCTATTTCTGTGCCATAAGTCCAAATAAGATAAACAAAATATTAATTATTCTGACAGGGGGCTAATAATTTTAGGTACACTTACGCGGACCTCAGGTTTTAACTGAGTAAAATAATACATATATGTAATAAGAAGAAAGACGGAAAGCATAAAAGAATATAAAAACTTAACAATCGGACCATATTCATAGAAATAATAATCATATTAAATATAAATAAGGTTAAGATTTACAGACTTCAATGTTTCTAAAAGCATAATTCATAAGTGGAATAAGGGTGACTCCTGCATTGCTTATTATAAGTCAGTTTTGCATTAGTATCTAAGCAATTTTTGTTCCACAGTCGCTTTATAACACGATTTCATGGTTCGCTTTACTGAGGCACTATAATCAAAGCGTATATAGTTTAGTATATAACTGATTTTTTTAAAGGTGATACGTATTATACGTATTCTCCAGTCTTAAATCATCAAACGGCGAACTGACGAGTGATGTTTTCGTGCCCTGTTCTGAACTATTTACATAATCTTATGAATTCGAGATCAATGATGCAGAAGTGGTACATTCATCCCAATAATGCAACGAACCAAGGATATAAGACTGCCAACATACTAAGAGAGTTTTTCTACTAAAAGATTTGTGAGATGTTAATAATCAGAATCTTCTACTATAATATAGTCCTCAGCAAGCTTCTAAAAACGTAAAAAAACAAGTTAATAATTTTCGCTGTCCAGAGACTTAATGTAATTTTCTTGCTAAAGTTAGGTTGAATTTTAATCAACATAATTAGGTTTCGTCATAAGGTTTTATAAGCATCCCATAAGTTATCAGGGACCCAATAATGCTTATTGCTAAGCCTCGTCTCATAGGTGTAATTTTCCATACCGTTAGGTAAATGTTGCGCGTGGTAACGCTCGAAATAAGAGCCTGGTCATGTACAGGTAAGGAACTACCTCTATAATCAACAATGCTATTAACATAATCTGCAGCATCCGACACCAATGACGTAAATATGATGACTACAATCATCCCAATAACACAGCGAACAGAGGATATAAGAGTGCCAAGGTTCGTCGTCATTTTTTATTGAAAAGATTCGTGAATTTCATCAAATGCTGATGTTAAATTTAGAGCTATGTACAAAAAGAGAGCACAACTTAATGTATCATCCACTTCTGACACAAGTTTGGCTATAGAAGCATGATTAGGCAACAGGTTAGTGATGTTATGATATAGTCCTCAGCAAGCTTCTAAAAATGTAAAAAAACAAGTTAATATTTCCGCTGTCCAGAGACTTAATGTAATTTGCTTGCTAAAGTAAGGGAATTTTAATCAACATAATTAGGTTTCGTCATAAGGTTTTATAAGCATCCCATAAGTTATCAGGGACCCAATAATGCTTATTGCTAAGCCTCGTCTCATAGGTGTAATTTTCCATACCGTTAGGTAAATGTTGCGCGTGGTAACGCGCGAAATAAGAGCCTGGTCATGTACAGGTAAAGAACTACCTCTATAATCAACAATGCTATTAACGTAATCTGCAGCATTCGACACCAATGACGCAAATATGATGAGTACAATCATCCCAATAACACAGCGAACAGAGGATATAAGAGTGCCAAGGTTCGTCGTCATTTTTTCTTGAAAAGATTCGTGAATTTCATCAAATGCTGATGTTAAATTTATAGCTATGTACAAAAAGACAGCACAACTTAATGTATCATCCACTTCTGACACAAGTTTTGCTATGGAAGCATGATTAGGCAGCAGGTTGGTGATGTTTTTTTCTTTTTGAAGCATGTCTCCGTAGGAAATGAGAATATCACGCAAAATCCAGCACACGGTGCAGTAATACAAAGCAAATACAGTACCCACTAAAAAAAGTATTTCGAAATTAATGTTAACTGCAGCAAGAAGTGTTATTTTAAGTGTTCTTGAGACTTGAATGTCAAAAATAAAGAGACGTATAAAATGATCCACGTTGAAATTGACTGTGTTGAAAATGTAAAATCCAATGAATATTGAATGAAACATCAGAATCAAAACTGTCGCGAGGATAATGCATTTTTTAACTTTTGGAAAGTTCGTTAAAGTTGAACCTCGTTGTTTGGAAAGAAATATTTTAATTATTTTAATGACATTTTGAAGAGATTGAAATTTTAGACGCAATAATATCGTGAGAACTATTCCAAGAATCAAAACCAAACTCTCTGAAAAATATTGTGCTTTGTCCCTCTTCATACAAGATGTATAAATACAGTGACTATATGAAACTAAAATCATCACGTTTGAGGATATATATGCACAGAAAATAAAAAGGTATATTGTTTTCGTTAAAATTGTGATTTTGTACTGTAAGAAATTTCTATTACAAATACCACATACTTTGAACACTGTAAAGGTAGGCTTAAAGATTTCGTACACGTCATAATGAAATCCCACATTTTCGTTAGTTTCAGAATTGCTTGCATGCACGTGTCCTTTGTTAATTAAAACCATTTTGATTGATTTTGGAATGATTGAACACGATACGAACACTTAGTTCCACATTTTTTTGCTTTCAATTTAATTAGCCGGAATTATTCTTATCTAGTTTATAGGATGTAAAATTAAGCAAAGTTACAAACATTTAATTCCACAATTTTGTTGCTAACAATTTAACTAGCTGGAATGTAGTCTCATCTAAATTCAATTTAGATGTTTTCGAATAAAGTTATAAATAGTTGGAATAGTTTTTTATGAGCAGTTTGGACTAAAATTTGCTAAAAAAGTTTTTTTTTGTAATGCATCATTAATTTTTGAACTTGAAAAGTAGTTGATATGAAACACACTACTAACTTATATCAGCTTAACTTGTGTAGTACAGTTTGAAAGTGGTCACTTGTAATATTCTTTATAAATTTGTTAATCGATATTGCTATAACAATGTATTTTCATTCTATTGTAATGTTATACACTTATTAAATAATGATAATCAATGAAAATAATCTCTGAAGTGCTAAGATCTTTGACCAAAATCTAATTAGCTTAAAAAGCTTTTATTGATTTCACGCATTTGTGTTATACTTAGCAACTATCTGCCAACTCGTCATTACTATTTATATGTTGACACAAATAGAAAGAAAAATAGAATAAAAGAATTAGGATAGATTTTTCAGAGATATTTTCCCTTTGTGTGTAAATATAACAGAACATCAAGGACTTAATCCTTAAAAAATAGATAATTATTCACAGTGATTTCAAAAATATATGTTAGACCATATTAAAAAATTTTTCTTTGATCTTTAGTAAATTTTTAAAGAAAATAAACTTTTTAAGACGTTANTTACACCTAAAGAAGGAACAAACATGCATATTGTTACATTATGGTTTATTTAATGTAATTTTGCAATGCATCGTTAATTTTTGAACTTAAAAAGTAGTTGATATGAGACACATTACTAACTTATATCAGTTTAACTTGTGTAGTACAGTTTTAAAGTGGTCACCTGTAATATTCTTTATAAATTTGTTAATCGATATTGCTAACAATACAACAAGTTAAGCACTTAGGAAAACAATGTATTTTCATTCTATTGTAATGTTATACACTTATACACATTACATATTGTTATACAGTCAATTCGCTATAACTCGAAGTACGATAACTCGAATATTACTATAACTCGATTTTTTTGTGATCTTTTAAAGCAAGAAAAAAAAATCTAGGAGCTGATATCTTGCCCCTTCCTTTGCAACACACACACACAATGTCTTTCGCACTCTTCATGGAGAAGCTAAAGCTGTCCCTCTTGAAGTATGTGAACAGTGGTTAAATGAAACGTTACCGAATTTACTTCAAGGATACAGTTAAAATGATGTTTTCAATATTGATGAAATGGGTTTAATTTTTAAATGTCTTCCAAATAAGACTATGATGTTAAAGGCTGAAAACTGCTCAGGGGGTAAAATGAGCAAAGAAAGTTTGACTGTCCTAGTTGGAGGAAATGCGTCGTGGACAGAGAAATTGCCCTTACTTGTTATCGGAAAATACCGAAATCCCCGATGTTTCAAGAAATGCAAAAACATATCCTTTAGATTACAAGTCTAACAAAAAGTTGTGGTTGACATCAGTTTTATTTGAAGACTATGTAAGAAAATTGGATCAGAAATTCTTCGCTTAAAAAAAAAAGTGATGCTCTTTATGGATAAATGCACAGCGCATTGCGATCTACTTAATGTGAAAGCAGTAAACTTGCAGTTTTTCCCGCCAAACACAACAGCAAAGTTGCAGCTGATGGACCAGAGTATCATAAAGTGCTTCAAACAGTCTTATCGAAAATGGCTTGTCAGAAAAATGATCTTAAATATTGTAAGCAATTAGAAGATTTGCAATTAATAAGCATTAATTAAATAATCCGACAATATTTTGAAAGTCCAAAACCGAAACTAACGGTAAGTCGAACTTCCGATATGTTGAAGTTTTTCGTCAGTCCCATCAGATTCGAGTTATCGCGAATTCATTGTATTATGGTTTATTTAAATATAATAATAAATAGATTTAATGAATATTTAGAAATATATGTAAGCTGAAATATTGAGAAAATATGGAAAATAATAAAAATTATGACAAGAGAAGAAAATTATTAAAAATATTATTCAAAAGTATTTAAAAAAATATAATTTTTGATTATCAAAAAAAAAAAAAGAAGGAAATAATAAAATAAAAATATTAAAAATCCGGAAAACAAAACAAAGAAAAGATATAATCAGCCCACACGATTATATCCGCAGAAAGGAGTGCTTTCTAATATTGTATTAATATAGCCAAAGCAAAATATATCAATACAATAGTGTGAGAAGCACATATTATTGTATTTCTTATTTTCCTTCGTTTTTTTTCTTTTTGTCCTCTTTGTTTTTATTTATTGTGCTATATATACATATGTATGCATGTATCTATGTATTCTTTTCCAAAATTAAATTCAATTAACTTAAAATGTTAACAAGTTATGCAATTTTCGTTCCACAAGGAATTTTTTAAACTAATTTGTTTCAGTAGAATGGTTGTAAATTAACTAAAACGTGCTCAACTATCAGAGTTCAATTCCATCCAAATCTAATCAATCAAAAACTATTAAAGCTCAACGCAATGAGACCGGAAGACAAACAGAAATCATATTACGGATAAAATTGGAAATCAGACATTGTATACNGTATTGGAAGCAGCTTGTGCGTAAGGAAAACCATTGTTTTCAGTCCAATCTACGATGATTACATTGTATTGTCCCTGTTTTAACAATGCTTGCTTGATTTCCTGTAAAAAATTTCATCGTCAGGAATGTTTAGAAAATTCTAACTATAACTCAGATTAACGAAAAAGAAAAGAAAAACATCACAAATTTGTTTTAAAATCAACATCCAATTATTTAATGAAAAAATGCTAAGTTGATTTTTCGAATTATGGTTGATTTTTTTTTTGACTTTTAACAGTTGATACATAATAAATTTTGTTTGTACAACGATTGGATACTAAACTCTGTAGGGATTAGATACTGATGTATGTGAAATCTGAATGTTTATATCTCTTCTCAAATGTTTTATCACTGAATGTTTTATCTAAGCCCTTTCTTAAGTTTTAAAAACAATACATTAAAATTTTGATAACTTATGCATTAATAACGCATTCATATAATTGATCGTTTTATTATAACATTGTTAACTTATTTATATCAGTGATAGTTTTTTAAAATTATTGATAGCTTTTTTGAATATCATTGATAGTTTTGTCTTAATATTATTAATAGTTCAAAGCGAGGATAGGGTATCCTTTGTGCTACATAGACTAAAGCAATAAAAACGTGAAAATTGCCCGAAGTACAGAAATCGACATACTATAGTTTTGGTTCTCCAAGAATCTTCCTCAGTGTCTAAACACCAAAATGTGTTTAAACACTGCCTTAGACATTGGTGTTTAAACGAATGTCTAAGTCAGATCACTTCGACATTTTGGTATTTAGATACTGAGAAAGGTTTTTGCTTAGAGAGCTGAAACTATAGTACGTCCATTTCTGTACATAATTTGAGATTTCTTCGGGTTGTTTTTTGCTTTAATCATTGAACGTGTTTTATTAACCTCAATAAATACCTGGTAGTTTTCTTTAAAGAACAATTTAGAGATTTAACATCAATAATACATTTTTCTGTTAATTTAATATATATTTTTTAATCTTAAAATTTTCACCTTTTCCGAACTTTAACAGCGAGAAACAACCATTTTACAGAAATCGACACACTATAGTTTTGGTTCTCCGATCTTCTACAGTGTCTAAACACCAAAATGTTTTTAGACACTGCTTTAGACATTAGTGTCTAATCGAGTGTCTAAGCCAGATCACTTAGATATTTTCACTTAGACACCAAAATGTTTTTAGACATTGGTGTCTAAACAAGTGTCTAAGTCAGATCACTTAGACATTTTCGAGTTTAGATACTGAGGAAGGTTCTTGCCTAGAGAGCTGAAACTATGGTACGTCCATTTCTCTACATAATTCGAGATTTTTTCGGGTTGCTTTTAGCTTTAATCATTGAACGTGTTTTTTTAACATCAATAAATCCCTGATAGTTTTCCTAAAATCACAATTTAGAGATTTAACATCAATAATACATTTTTCTGTTAATTTAATATATATTTTTTAATCTGGAAATTTTCACCTTTTCCATACTTTAACAGTGAGAAACAGGGTACCTGCTTCATTTTAGATTTTCAAATCCATGACTTTCCATTACTAATTCCAAGAATTTTTCATGACTTATCGAAGTTACTATTTTCTCCGACAAAAACACAAGAATAAATTTGAAAAAGCACCATAATAACATTCATTGAAATGATAGGTATAACCAAAACTGTTATACTCTGCGTTTTCATATTTATAGATTTTAAATTTAAAAAACAGAGTAAAGAAAGAGTTGAAGGAAAAAAAAATACAAGAGCAAATAATTTTTTTTCTTTTTTTTCTGCAGAATTATATTCTAAAGATACTTTTCTTGTTCATCGGAAAGGAAGGAAATATTCCTGATTTTTCTGTTTTCACTTCAAAATAAAAAAAATTCGCCAAGGACTGGCTTGCTTCAACTAGAATTTTAAATTTATAAAATAAAAATAAATAAATAATAAAAAAAATTCTTAAATCTCAGAAGTTTAAAAGATAATTCGCTCCAGAAATGATGTTTTTTATTTCATTTTTTAAAAGAACGTCCTAATTTTTAAAGAACACGATAAAAACATTTCATATTTTAATAAAATATGACTGTAAGTGGAGATTTTTTTTACAAATTCAGACAACACCATGAAATTTGGGAGGTGGGGGTAAATTCAATTTAAAAAATTAAATTTTTCGGCGACCTAAATCCATGACTTTACATGATTTCTTCTTAAAAAAATAGTCAAAATCATGGCATTTCATGACAAATTTTGTTCAATACCGAAATTCATGACTTTTCATGATTTCTCATGACTTCCCAGGTGCGCAGATACACTGTATATATTTTTTAAACTTAAAATTTTCCCCTTTTCCATACTTTAACAGCGAGAAACAACAATTTTAATGCATTTTTATTTAAAATTGGAGGGAAATTCAAAATGAAATTAACGGAGAAAAAAAAATTACACGTTACTTACATGTCTGATATCGTTAAGATCTCTAACATCCGATCTGAATCCATGAATTATGAATTTTGTTGGCAAGTCTGGATTGAAAGGTGAATTTCTCAAGGATTCGATGTCGATAGTCAGATTGTACTGCTCATCAGGATTGTCTGGAGTATAAAGTTGAAATTTGGTTAATGGTTCTTGTGGTGGGAGCGTAATGGGGCGGACGCTAGCATGGTAGAAAGGTGGTCCCGTGTGGAAACATCCCAAATCTTCAATACACTTGTTGAAAAAAAGTACTGGAAAAGAAAATAGTATGTAAAAAGTAACAGTTTATGTAACATGAAGCAAAAGATGTAGAAAACATAATATAAATCAAATTAATAAGTATTAGATATCGAAAATGCTCTCATAATGTCAAATTTAATAAATACTTTCTAAGTTAATAATTTTAGAATTTTATAGTTTATTTTACCATATTATATTTTAGTTGTTAATTTTAGAATTTTTTAGTTTATTTTACCATATTATATCTTACTTAATAATGTTAGAATTTTATAGTTTATTTAACCATATTATATCTTAATTAATAATTTTAGAATTTTACAGTTTATTTCACCATATTATATCTTAATTAATAATGTTAGAATTTCATAGTTTATTAAACCATGTTATATCTTAGTTAATAATTTTAGAATTTTATAGTTTATTTAACCATGTTATATCTTAGTTAATAATGTTAGAATTTTATAGTTTATTTTAACATATTGTCTATGATAATTTTATCAAAAAAATTATTCTACCGTAAATTATCTTTGAATTTAAGGTATAATCGTCAAAAAGTGGGCAAGTGTGTAAAAACATTTAATTTTCAGAACACTTGCTGAAAAAAAAGTACTGGAAATAAAATATTGAGTAAAAGTTTAGCTAAAATATCTACGTACTTCAATTTTAATCAATATTTTCTTGTTCATAATGTTAGAATTTTATCGTTCACTTTATCATATATTCGATGACAGTTTTATCAAATTTACCGTTATATCTACTGTAGAATCGTATCGTGGAAAAGTAGGTTAGTGTGAAAAATTCTAAATCTTCAGGACACTTGTTGAAAAAATAAAATAAAATAAAATATTGAGCAAAAAGTAACTGTTTACATAAACATAACATAAAACAAAAATATGTAGAAAACGTAGGAAATGTAGCATAAAGGAAAGTTAATAAATATAAGATATCTAAACTGTTCACGTACTTCAATTTTAATGAATAGTTTTGTCAGTAATTTTAGAATTTTATCGTTTATTTTTTACCATATTATCAATGATGATTTTTTTCAAAAATTTATCACCGATCAATTTACGGTAGAATTGTTGAAATGTGGGATAGAGCGAAAAACTCTTCTGGACCCTCGTTGAAAAAAAGAAAAAGAAAAAAATACAGGAAAATAAAACATTGAGAAAAAATAAATGAAACACTAAACGTTAAATTAAGCATAAGATGGAGAAAAAAAATATAAAAATGAAAAATTCCCGAAATTCATTAAATAGTCATTCATTGTGTTTGTCCTTTTTTTTTTAAAAACAGTTTTAGAAATTTATCTTTTGCTTACAATTCTCTCATCCTTACCTTATCGTCTGCCAGTTTTGTTTAATAAAATTGAGGTTAAAAATTCGCATTCTTTTATTCTTTATATACGCATTTAAATATTGACTTGATTGTGAACTTAATTTGAATAAGAATTCTCTGAAATACAAAAATTTTTAACACTTTTTTCGATTGAGATAATCAGTCGTTCCGAAAATTGTAGTTAATCAACGAATTAATTACTTTTGGTAATGGGAAATATAATTTTTAAAATTCCATAAAAAACTCAACTTGACTTTTGATAAAATGCCGAACATTTACTGCACATTTTTGTTCCAATTTTTCGATTGCTATGTATAAGTCTTAATTCTTAACCTAAAAGTAAAATAACTTTAGAGTATGAAATTTTTCACCGTAAAGAGAATTTTAGAAATTTAATTTTCATTTCGGTTGTATTAAGATCCTAAATTACTTTTTTCTTAATTTATGTTTGCTAAAGCAAATAATTTGTTAGTTCCTTAAATAAGTTCCTTAATTTTGTTTTTTCTGAAAATATATTTGAAAGAAAATAATTAAATAATTAGTCAACATTTATAAATGTAGCTTTAATTAAATGTAGAATTTTAAAAATAACGATAGATTAAATGAAAAATGTTTTAACTATTAAGGTTTAACTCGTAATCATCCTTTTATTATAAAATTAAAGTTATGTGCAATTATATCTATTTCTTATCTTTTTCGATACTCGGAGAAAAATTCTTAGTACGAATGTTGAACAAAAGATCAATTTAGCGGTTTAGCTGTTCTTAACCCTTTGACGCAGATGAGACACCGGTGTCCCTTTTGTATCTTTTTTCTGGCTCTCTAAATGCAAGTAAAATTATAATTTTGTATTTTTTAAACACAAAAAACAATCTAATAATTAATAATTACTAAAAATAATCGGATAGATTATTTTTAGTAATTATTACTAAAACAATTACTAAAAATAATCGGATAAATCGGATATTTGTACTAAAATATATATAAAAAAAATAACAGCTTGAAAATTTTTGTTTTCATTCATATTAAAAAATTTATCGATAATTTATTTTGTAAATGACAGAAATTTCAATAATGAATGATTGTTTCTCTTAGATCTAAATAACTGCAAGAAAGTACAAATTTGAAAATTTTGTCGAAAGTGAGCCGTGTTCGGAAAATTTCCCCTTTAACGCGAAAAAAAAAGACACCGGTGTTTCATGCGGTATTTCAAAATCCGAAATTATTATAATGCTAAATATAATATTTTACACTCACTTTTATCTAAATTAAAATGCAGAATAAATGAGAAAAGTATAAACATTATGTTAAATAAACATTCTGCGTTAAAGGGTTAATGTTGAGATTTATTTTCTGTATCCTAGTAATTTTAAATCCTCAAAAGATAAAATAGAACTTAAATCAATCAGCAAAAAAGAAAGAAAATCGTTTTAACTCAAAAATATTATCGATAAAACTAACGCATATTTGCATTTGACGAGGAGAAATTCTCAAAAACCTGACGGTGTGAGAACTTTAACCAGACTGGTTGGAAATTGAATTTATTGAACCAGTCATGTAAAAATAGAAAGTTTTTATTTGTTTTTAAAATAAAAATTACCTCCGCAAACTGTGTTTATCAATTTTTGTTAAAACAATAGTGCGTTTATGATTAATGCGTTTATGATGCTTAAATCAGTAATAGCATTAGAAAAGTTCCAAGAAAATAATTATGCTCTGTTTAGAACTCTAGTCCACTCCTATGAAATGTTGCGTCTACAAACCTAAATAATAAAAATATATTATAACATATACTCATTTCCTGAAAACAAATTTAGTATGAGAGTAATACACATACACTGAAAAAAAAAATTCTGAATCAAATTACGTTAAAAAGAAACGGCACTAAGGGTGCCAGTACTTTTTACCGTAAAATCTTATTTTACGGAATAAAAAATCTGATATGCCGCAATACAGTAATACTTACTGTAGATATGCTTACTGTAAAGGATATACAATAATACTGTAAAATTACCGAATTACTGTAATTAAATGAATATTACTGTAAATTTTTACAGTAATATTTGCATCAGAATCACTGCGATTAAATAAATATTACTGTATTTTTTACGATATAAAATTTTTTTATAAAATGTCAATAACAAAATCCCATATACTTACGATTTAATGAATATAAAATTTTATTTTAAAACATCTTTAATAACAAAATCCCATATATTTACGATTTAATGGATTAAATAGTATAACCGTAATGGTATTACTATAAAAACAGTCAAATTATAAGAACATTCATTTATAATAAGAATTCGGTATAAAAATTTTACTATACAAGAAAACAAATATACTTACAATTTAAGGGATTAACGATATCAATAATTTAGGGAATTTTGATATTCAGTAAATAGTGGTAGTTATAGTATTAGAACACTAGTATACCTAAAAATTTCGTAAATAATACTTCGATTTGAACAAAATCCCTAACACTTAATGGTATCAAAAATCTCGGAAACTTCAACATCCGGTAAAAAGCATTAATGATATAACTATAAGAACAATCAAACTAAAAGAGCATTCATAAACAATAAGAATTCGGCTAAAAATATTAAGGAACAAAATCCTATGTACTTATTTAAGGGATTAATGTAATCCATAATATCATGAATTTCGACATATTAGAAACAGTGGTAATAGTTTTACTATAAGAAGATTCATATTATAAGAATATTTATTTACTATAAGAATTCAGTGAATATTATTACTATAAGAACGAAATCCCACATACAAGGAATTAACGTTATCAATAATTTTGGGAATTTCGGAAAATCGATAAATAGCTGTAGTAATAATACTATAAGAAGAATGATATACTATAAAAATTCGGTAAATAACATTCCGATTCGAACAAAATCTAAATAACTTACGATTTAAGGGATTAATGGTATCAATAATCTCCGGAATTTCGATATTCGGTAAATAGCCATATCCAGATCCAAATAGCACACAAAAAGAAAGCCAAAACCACTTCATAACGTGATAAGAAAATTGTAATTAAACATTAGAAGTATGTGCTGAGTTGTTTCTGCAACTCCGTTCACAAGATTGTTTGATATGAATAAAAGTCAAACGAAAATAAGTTATTTCTTTTCGTCAGATTGTTATCGTTTTTTGAAGAAAAGATAATCATCTTTTGAGCACACATAAATTCACTATTTTCAGAAAATTCATTAAAATTTCGAACCATGCAGAAATTTCACTTTATTGAAGTGTCAGAATTATTTCCGTTTTCTTAAAGAAATTAAAGTTCTTTTTTCTGATTAATTAATCAAATTTCTGCAATTTTATTTATCGAAAAAAAAAAAGAACTTTGCGTTATTTTAATAGATTGTAGTGTTTTTTGTGCACGCAATTGTGTACCTTAGAAGAACAAGCTTTTTAATTTTCGGACATTAATGAATTTTCCAAATTTTTTAATAAAGACGCAGGGTGAGCAGATTTTGGCAGGTCAAATTTTAAATTTAGAAACATTCGAATTTTATATACGTTTCTCTCAAAACCACTTTATTCAAATTTGTATTTCGAGGAAAAAAAAAACTTTTTAAAATTTTTAAAAAGAGTTCTAAAGATCGTTAAATTCATGTTTAGAAAAACTGCCGTTGTTATAAAGCTTTTCATTTGGTAATTTTAATTCTATGCTTATAATAAATTTTGAAATTAATTCAATCAAATTGAAATATTAATAATTTTATTGTCTTTTACTCGTAAAAATCTTTTGTTCATGTGAAATGTTAAGCCTAAGAATTAATACAAATTTGCATAATAATTGATAATATAACAGAGTTTCAAATTTATCCCATGTTTGATTAATGTGAAATCCATGAAGTTTTTTTATTTTTTATTTTTCAGAAATAATTGAGAGGATTTATTTAGAAATTTCACTATGTCACAGTACAAAAAGTAGTAGTTTTACGTGATTAAAAAATTATGTACTAAGTTATACATTAAAATCCAAAAATCTTATTTTCCAATTATTAATAAATTAGAAGACTCATTCGAATTAATAATAAATAGGAAGACTCATTTATAACAATATATTACTGTACTAGTTAATTATTGAATTTACTTACCTTACAGTAAATTTTACTTAATTATATTCAGTTTTAATTTAGTTTTATTACTTCTTTTCTTCTTTAATTCTTAATTAATTAATTAATTCATAAAATTAATAAATTTAGTTAATTCAATAAATTAATTAATTCAATTAATTAGGATCTATTTTAATTCTTTGATTGTCGTATTCTTTAATTCTCTTGTTTTTTTTTGCAATAAAATTGAAATATTTATTAAATTATTTACAGATATTTTCTTGTAAATAAGATTTATCAATCAAGTTTAAAAAAATACTCTTCATATGAACTATAAAATGAATATATAAATATCAGTAATTAATTTCAACTATAATATCAATAAACAATATATTCTTGTTAAACATAAGAAAAAAGATTCGTTTATGATTTTGTACCGGAAATAACTTTGGTCAACAAACTATAAGTATTTACCCTGAATTGACAGTTGCCACCATATAATACCATAGTACTTTTACTTGCTGGTTAAAATACGGCATACATGGCTGCAAAAATCATTTTATTGCATTTATCGCTTTTATTCTCTTATTTAGAATAAATTTAATTATTGTTAATTATGAAATAAATATTATAGTTAATAATTAGAATTAATTAATAGCATATTAATACATTTTCCCTACAATAATTTGAGTTCCAAAAGATCAAAATACCGAATATGTTAAGATTCACCGCATTTTGGGCTCTATGGGAACACTAAAAAGCTCGGTAATTTTCACAGAGGCACTTTAGTAATGATTTTGGTAAAATTAGCAATAAAATATGGTTTTATAACATGTGGTAAAATTTGGTAAATATGATAAAATTCGGTAATTCTATCATGATTCCTTAGAGCATAGCATAAAGACCGCATGTTCGGTTAAATTTTCTTTTCAATTTTGTGTTTTTTAACTAAATGAGTGGTAATAAGAACTATAATTTTGGAAACCAGTATTTCCAATAAACCTTTACCATGTGAATGGAAAAACTACCTAATAAATGATTTAAATACCATATATTTTGGATGTATTAACCAGATATGTTATTAATCCTCTTTCTTTAAATTTTTTTTTAACTATTATCCATTTACCATTGTCCCCATTTACCATTTTTTACAATGTCATTTCTATTCAGCACGGTAATTTTACCAAATTTTTTTTTCGGATCAGTTTTTCTTTTTAGGAAAAATAGACCAGTAGGGAAAATAATTTGACCTTTGATCCGTTAAGGGTTAATAAATATATTTTTTAATAAAACTTGTATAAAATCTTAACAAAGAGACATTAAAAAAATTAAAAAATATACTTACAATTTAACGGATTGATTTTATCAACAACTTCTGGAACTATATCAGGTATGATTTTAGGAATTTCGAATTTCGGAAAATATCCGAATCCTGGCTTAAACAGTACGAAGATAACTAATACGAAAAACTTCATTTTTCTTAGAACAAATAATATAATTAAACATTAATTGCTCTGGTCAAAGTGTTTCGGTTAGTATAAACAGAAAAATATTTTTTGCTTCATATTTATAATCTAGTGGCAACTGTTATAAAGAACAATTAAACAAATGCGATTCGAACATCTGTTTTGGAAAAAAAAATGGTGTAAGAACGGAGAATAGTATTTTTTTCCTCCTCTGATGTATTGATGTTTTAACGGAAGTTTCGCAATCAATGCCATCATTCTCTTAATAATAATGAAAGAGATTTCCCACAATTAAAAGATTAAATCTCAGTTTCGTGACAATCTTTAAAATAGAAATTGACGGTCATACATATTGTGAGGTGTATTTATAAATTATTTCTTATGAAGAAAATGTTTTTGTGCTTTTAAAAAAATTATATTAAACTTGTCCATGACATTGTTTATTTTTTATATAGTGTAAGCATTTTCTTTTTATTCGAAAGTTTCATAAAGTCAGCAATTAATTTAATTTGATGGATAAGCTTTATTGTAAATCAAGGAAAAATACTGAACGTTGCTTTTAAAAGGTTTATAATTTCGCAAAGCTTTAAGAGAATATTAGTATTTACGTCAATTTTAATAGCATATAAAAGTGAATTACATTATTGTCATTTTTTCAGTTTTATTGCAAGTTTTAGCAATTTCATGTTCGCTTGAAATACAATGAGGATTTTTGCATTGTGTTGATGCACAATTCAAAAGTATTTTCTTATATTTTCAGATTTAAAAAAATGTTTTTTTCTGTTGCCCATTGTAAATCTGAAAGTTTATTTTTAAATTTTATTACAATTTCGATTTCGAACAAAACAGCTGTTGCTGCTTACCGTGAAAAAATCCGGATCCAATAACGGTATAAAGCACATAGACTTTGGGTGCATCTTCCGCAAAATCAGTTTTCCCGTAAAATCTATTTAACCATAAAATCCATTTTTATCGTGAAATATGATGCTGTAATTTTTAGAGTAATATTTATTTAATTAGAGTAACACAATGATTTCACGGTACTTATTACTGTAAAAATAACTGTATATCAGATTTTGTGTTCTGTAACATGTTCTGGTAAAATGCATCGGCACTTTGAGTGCCGGTGCTTTTTACCGTAATTTGATCTGAAATTTTCTACTGTATAGAAATCAGTTATTATAGAGATTATCTAGCTAGGTCCGAAAACACTAGTTAGTGTTATCGGTTAAAGTACCAAAAAATTGTTTCATTTATTAAATTATGGAGGAATTTCGCCACCTATAAAGATAATCTGCTAATTACCTACTAGGCATTAGTTAAAGTGAAAATAAAACCTTTGGAACAACAGCACCGTTTCCGCACTAGTAAATTAATTATTTATTTTTTTTAACTTTTATTTTACGCTCTCTTAGAAAATGAAGTTACTGAAATCAAGCGTCAGCTTATAGAATCAATCATAGATCACTTTAAAAATTATAATGCAAAAAATCAAAGGGTTAAAATCTTATTACAATTAAGGACATTAACATTTTTATTTATTTATTTTTCGATGTCTAAAGAATCAAGTAAAAAACAATCGACAAATTAGTTGATAGAATGAGTGAAATAATCTTTTGAACATTTACGGTACGTTATGTGCCCATTATTTCTGCACTTTAACTGTGCAAATCAGTTAACCAGCAGAGAAAGGTACTGTGCACAGTAACAGCATTCCAGATTTAGTGGTAATATAGACACTGCAATGACTGCTTACGACTGGCACACTGTAAAAAAAAAAAAAATCGGATAAAATTACAGTATATACATTATTTGGCCGAAAGTTTCCGGACGACAAACAGTGACATGGACTTAGTGAGTCTTGAAGCCCATATTAACATGATGTCGGCCCCCCTTTTGCATCGATGAAAGCCTGCGCACGTCTGGGAAGACTTTCCACCAGTTTTTGATAAGTGAACATAGGAATTGACTTCCAGGCTTTCATCATAGCTGAAGTGAGTGCTTGCAGCGAGGATGGTCGATTTGGCTGCCTACGTAATCTGCACTCTAATTCGTACCAAAGTTGTTGTATGGGATTTAGATCGGGGATCTGAGAAGGCTCCAGTTTTTGAATACCTCGTCAAACCACGTCTGTGCAAGCCTCGATATGTGAATGGAGCAGTTATTCTTCTGGTAGAGAAGTGGGTCTCTCCCGAAATTTTGCCATAAAGCTGGGAATGCAGTATTGTCCAGAAAGTCTACGTGCATTTCAGAGTTCATGTTTCCAACCACAGGAACTACCAGACCCAGGTTTACCACGAGTAACATCGTCACACCATTATGCTTCCACCACCATAACAACCGGGTGTCCGGATACTTCTGGCCGGATAGTATAGTACGGGCAGAGTGTTAGCAAAGTGTGAGAAATAATAACGAATTTTGAAAACATTAGCAACCATATAACGGTTTACGAATTCTGTGCTAATTTTTAAGGTAGAGCCGTGATGGCTCAGGGCATAGAGAGTTCGATTTCCAATGTGGTGAACCGGGTTCAAATACCAGCTATGGCTGTTTGATACGAATTCCGCATCCAGCTTGTACCGACCAAAGTGCTGACGTGAAATATCCTCAGCGGTAGACGGATCATGTGTTATAGTCCCTTTGCCGTCAGACTAACCATGGGGGGTTCTCGTGGTCTTCCTTTCCATGTAACGCAAATGCGGATTGGTTCCATTAAAAAGTCCTCCGCGAAGGCAAATTTCTCCCAATCCTTGATCCAGGAGTTCCCTTGTCTTCCGGATCGGGTTCAAAATTACAAGGCGACGGAGTTGAACATTAGTAGTCGTAAATCCGAAAATTGGGTCGGCTGTTCAACAGCGGTTGTAAAATTAAAATGAAAAGAGGGGAAAGCTTATAAAGGAGTTTTCAGGTATAATTTATAAACACATAACAAAGCTCTCTATAAAATCTTTTCGATGATGAAGACTTTTTTTACTGGATTATAGATTAATCAATATAATTGAAATTAATTAATTTAAGTAATTAGTCGCTAAAGAGATTATTTTTTATAAAGGAAAATAGACCATTTTTCATCATACCTGAATTTAAGAACAATGCATCAATTTTAGCGTCAAATATTAGAATGTTCCACACTATTATTTATCAATAGATGATGGATGAAAATGTTTATTCATTGTCACCACATGTTCATTCCTGCAGGTGTTAGTATTGTTCTATTATTTTTTATCAATAGCCTTTTGTATAATTTTGGCAATGAAGTTTTTTGCATTGCGAAAAAAAAATAGACTAATGATTTTGAGAAGTCTAAAACAATTGGTCCAAAGCAAATGTTTAAACAATTGGTTTCTCATTCATTTCACCTTTGACTTCGAATTTTAAAATTTCATTTCTCAAAATAATTGATATTAGTAATATTTTAATGATACTTTCAAATTTTCCAAAGTAAGGTTAAATTTTTTTAAACAATGACGGAACGGTAACAGTTTTTTCAAATGCACCACTCCTAAAATTGTTTGCTCTAAACATTGTTTCTTATCGCATTTTAAATTATATATTTTCGTAAAATGAGGCGTATATCAAGATGATTCAAGGGATAAAGATAATACTGGGGAACAATTTTTTCTTAGAATTGCATGAGATTTTTTTACGGATCTTGAATATTTTCAAATTACTTATTTCAAATCTGCAATCAGTATCCCACTCCAAGCTAAAGTTCTTTTTAAATGAAATTTTAGTCTATTTTACGTCGAAACGTACAAGTTTAAAAGCGTTATAAACAACAGGTAGTCCCATAAGTTGTGAGACAAACTTCTAGGGGAGTTAGGGCACAACACCAGGATTAATATTGCATATGAGCCCATGGCAGGAAGTGTCGTTGTACGCAATTAGGGGCGCTCTCCGTATTCCCTATTTTAGAAATGGCGCATAATTTATACTGAGCAGCAAAAAATTGAATTTTTGCTGTAATTTTGTTTGATTTTACAGTCCTTGACTTTACAGTCCTTACAGTCCATATTTGATAGTAATTTCTAGACCTCGAATTAAACTTTCAGATGAGGAAATTTCAAGAAGAGTCTAACAGTCTTAGAATGAACGTTCTTTTTTTATATCACTTAAGCAAGACCATCTAATGATTAGATGGTTAAAAGAGATGAGATTCTAATCTCTTTTAAAGCTCAGGGAATAGAGCGCTTGCTTCTCAACGAGACGACCCAGGTTCGATCCCAGCTTTGGCTGGTTGATTCGAATCCTGGTCCCAGCCTGCACTGATCCCAGTTCTGACGTGAAATATCTTTAGTGGTCCTCAGTGGTAGACAGATCATAGGTTATAATCCCCTTGCTGTCGGGATAAAAATGGGATGTATTCGTGGATTTCCTCTCCCTGTAACGCAAATGCGGGTTAAAATGGCTAGTTTGCACAACTTTTGATCCAAGAGTTCCCTTGTCTTCTGGATTGGGTTCAAAATTACAAGACTATGGAATAGAGCATTGATAGTCGTAAACTCAGAAATGGATCGACTTTTTAACACCCGTCATTATATAATAAAATAAAACATTTCTTTTAATGCCAATTTAACTTTATTAAGTATTATATTCTAAGTTGTGATATTTTTTACCGGATATTAACACTTTAATTATTATAAAAATGTAAGAAAGAGAGGAAATAAATAGATTTAAAAAAAATTTCATCCAATTTAAGAAGTGGCCCATAATTTATACTAAGCAGCAAAAAATTAGCATTTTTTTTGTTTTGTTTCAGAGTCCTTGACCAAATATTTAATAGTCATTTCTAGTCCTTGACTGAACTTCCAGGTGAGGAACATTCACGAAAAGGGCAGCCGATTCCAACAGTCTTACAATAAATGTTTTTCATTTCACTCAAGCGAGTCAATTATTATCTCTTTTAAAAACAATACAACATTATTAATTATTCCATTCGAAGTCGTATTATCTTTTACTGGGTATTGCGATCAATGAAAAGCATTTATAAAGACTTGTTTTCCTACTCTTCGAATTTTATGAATGAAAACAAAACTCTACACTGTTTGAATTTTCATTCTAAAATTACGGTAAAATAACTGACAGCAGCTTGTCCATCTAATTT